CTTTTTAATGAGAGTGCTTGCATAAGCCTTTAAAGAGCCAATAAACTGATTCTCCACCTTCTTGAGATACTCAGTGGTGGTGGTGCATTCTGGGATTGATCCCCTTATCGGATTCTCAATGGAGCCCTTAATCACCATCAAACACTTGCGGTTTGAACTATCCCACTTCGCACGTTCAAGATCGTACTTCATTCTCACTCCAGCGTGGTCACGCTGCCAAGTAGTGAAAGCTGCATCGGTCTCATTTTCTGCCCTAACCGGGTCCACAGGTTCAGTGGGACACGGAGAGATAAGTGCTAGATTATTGTCTAAGAGCGCAAGTGCTATCTCAAGCTTCTCTCGCCATGTGTTATAATTGCTCCCATTGAGAGAGGGAATGGACGAGATGAATGTCATTGGGTTATAGCCTGAAAACAACATCAAAGAAAATGAGAAACATTTAACATAATAATTGCATGCCTTAATTTAATGTTGGTCAAAATTAAAATATACAACATTCTTCTACATTAATTCTACATCACCGTTGGGCAGAAATAGAACTAATTCATAAAACTCATAAATAAGATTTATAATATTGCTATCATCAACTTTAGTCAGAAAATAATAATATCGTAAATATAATATTCTTCTACATTAATTCTATAACACTGTTGGGTAGAAATGGAATTAATGCATTAAAAAACAACTCATGATTAAATTTATAATATTGTTATCATCAATGTTGGTCAAAAAATAGCAATACATAATTTAACTTAAACGAAAAATGCCTACTCCTCCAATTAGAATTTTTTCTTTGTCCAATTTAATTAGAGGATGAACATAATCATGGCAGCGGAAACATGAAAAACTTGAAAAACTACTTTCTCAGGAGCAGTATTTACTAATCTACTCTCTAAACAATATACACGTTGGTGCAAAATTCAATAGAGATTTAAACATGCAAAAATTGAGTAAAACATCAAATAAATGCTTCTAAAAATATAAACGAAAATCGTAACGCATATTGTGCATTTGGGCCAGTGGCGCTGCAGCCCACGGCCCAGTAGCGAAAAACGGCCTACGGCCCAACGGCGCGCGCCGCGCTCCAGCGTCCCAGGCCACAACATGGGCTTGGGCCGGGAAATGCCCTTCTCGCCTGGGCCGAAAGGCGGTTCGATCGATCTCATTCGTCGAATCTGATCGGAGGTCGTCCGGCCGTCTTGGCTGAACAAAAACACACGCAGCCGTGCCTCCCCTGAACCCTAACTTCATTTCACTCCCTCCCCTTCTCTCTCATCATCGCAGCAAGTGACGCAGCGGCGGCCATCCGAGGCGACGGAGGAAGAAGAGCGGGCCCCCTTGCCGGTGTGAGTGTTCACCTGAGGGTGAGCGCGCCACAATCAAGTGGTCCTATGGCGGTGCCCTTGGCCGGGCTCGAAAGCGCGGCGACTCGACTTTCTTCCTGCACGCCGATGAGGCGGCGGCGGGTCCCTCTTCCCGCGCGACGGCGGTGGCGACGGTGGTGAAGAAACCAGGTAGGTTCCATCCCCTCTTCGTCCGTTGCCCTTCTAGGGTTAGGATTAGGGATATGGTTTTATCCAGATCAAAAAATCGAATCATCTCCTTCTAAATTCTCCCCCCAAAACCTAGATCTACACGCTAGATTAGGCTCAACTGATACCATTGATAGAACTTAGGGATCACCTAGGTGTAGATCAGAGGGTATAATCTTACGAAAATGAGTACTTCGTCCTAGAACTTAACTGGAGAGAGAGAGGGTGGGGAATAGAAGGGCTGACCATCGGGCTTGGAGGAGCTGCAAGCCATGGCAAAGGTGATGTAGCCCTAGTCGACTTCTGTGCTATGTCGGTGAAGACGGGCACAGTGCAATGGAGGCACGATCCAGTGACAACGGCGAAGGCGGTGGCGTTTCCCGTCGCTCACAGCGCTCCCTTGATCGGTTAGGGTTAGGATGTCGGTGGGGTTTGTGGCGGCTGCAATGAACCTCGTACCCTGAGCCCTAACCCCTAACCCCCACCTCCTTAATATAGCACTGCGCGACGGGGGCCCACCAGTCATGTATGAGGCTAGGCGCCCCCGATCAGGACGTTGGATTAAGGCCCAAGTTGGCCGTTGGGCCAACTCAGTGGAGATCAACCTAACAACTGGTACTCCCTTTGTTCTAGATTAATTTCGTTCTAGAGAACTATGTATGGACATATAGTTTGCGACAGAAGTGCTAATGTGTTAGACTCATAGAATTTGTTGTTTTTAGACTGACAGCTCCAGTTGTGCAAAACTGCAAATAGAAACTGAATTAGTGATAGTGTTAGCATGTACTTGATAATGTGATTGCTGTAGTGCTGGGATTAGCTTGGAATGTTGACATGTTGTCCAATGATGGCTTTATATTGTTTCCTCGTAGTTTGTGGTTGGATTTTTCTATGACAAATGTCCTGGCTTCACGGTACATTTGGCATGTTTGTAATTCTTCTAGGAAGATATTTGAAATGTGTAAATTATAGTTATGTACTGTATATGATTCCTTTCATTTGTATAGATATCTTTTTTAGATTTGAAATTGTAAACCCTTTGGCCCTTAGAAACTCAGGTAGTGTTTGGTTTGGTAACAGAACATGGGTGAAATGAGATCTCATTTTGTCTCGCAATTTGGTTTTGAGAAATAGGGATGGAGTTGTTCCCTAGATTTGGGATAAAATCTCGTCTCCAAAAATCGGAGGGGCGCCCCCGTTCTCTCCTAGCACCAATTTTTTTAGATGACACAGGGTTGAAGTGAGCCGTTCTATTCAAACCAATTGGAAATTTTTATCTAAAAAAGAGTATGTTTGGTTTCATGCCTGGGCAGAGTTGTGTGGTCCGGCAGCTATCTCAGGCCGTCAATTTTGATCGTCTAACGGCCAAGATTGTTGCATGAGAGGTGGGCTGCCTGGCGGGGGCTGCTAGAGTCTGCCCAATCGGACGGTACCCCGCGTCGGCGGAAGGGCGCCAAAATTTCCCGTGTGTAGGTGGATGCTGGCCTGGGCGCATGCTGGACCCGGAGCATGGCCCACCTCACCAGTCAGCTCCGCCCACGCATGCCCATAACTTTCAATGTACTAATAAAAGTAATATCGGTTAAACCAAATATCCAAATTAAATTCCAATTATACCATCAGGTTTTTACAATAAATCCTTCAAAACAAGATCTCACATGGATACATTTAAATAAAATTTTAATAAGAACATTTATCTTATAAAGATAGAACATTTTTGTATTTAGCAGATACGATGTTCTAGGTTCAGAAAACAATGTTCCATCTTCGTAAGAAAATATTCTCGGTTTAGAAGAACAATATTCTAGTTTTAGATTCATGAAACTGGTATTATAATATACATTAAAATAGATGAATACATAACATAAATAAAATAATAAAATCTAGAGCAATGCCTAAGAAAAAAAAAATAAAAACACGTAATAGAGAAAATTAAAAAAAAATCACACGGATACTTTTGAGACATCCTAAAATACACTATAGAATATCAGATGTATATTAAGTGAACATCACTAAATACACCATAGAACACCACTAAAAACATGAATATCACTAAATACATCATAGAACATCACATGTACACTACGTGAACATTACCAAAAAATATCATAGAACACCACCTGTATACTACGAGAACATCACATGTATATTACGCGAACATCACAAAAAAATTAATAGAACATCACTTGTATACCACATGAACATAAAAAAATCATAAAACATCATATGTATTTACGTGAACATCACAAAAACCATCATAAAACATCATCTATATATTACGAGAACATCACAAAAAATATCATAGAACACCATCTGTATACTACGAGAATATCACATGTATACTACGCGAAGATCATAAAAACGTCATAAAACATCACATGTATACCACGTGAACATAAAAAATTATAGAACATCACATATATAACACGTGAACATCACAAAAAATCATAGAACATCACATGTATACTATATAAACATCACAAAAAAATAGAACATGACATTATATTTCATGCGAACATCACAAAATACATCATAGAACATCACATCTATATTGTATGAACATAACATCTCATGGAATATAGAAAATAAAAAATTAAACATGAAAAAGTAATTAACTAGGTAAAAATAAAAAAATAGAAAAAAACACATAAAACATGAATAATAAATGACAAAATATATAGGAAAATAAGAAATAAATATGTACATAAAAAATAAAATAAATAATTAATGAAAAATAACACATAATAAAAAAAAAGAAAATAAAAAGGAAAAGGAAAAAGAAATATAAGAAATAAAAAGAAAAACTAAGTAGAAAATAAGCAGTTGAAAAGAAACATACGTGTGGGGGAACATACAAAATAAAAAAATAAAAATAATAATGAAAAATATCATGAAACAAAAAATAAAAGATAAATTGAAGAAAGGAAATAAAAACATAATAAGACAAGAAAAAAGAAATTAAAAAACATACAAAATAAAAAATGAAAAGAATAATAATAAATCACATAAAACATAAAAGAAAATAAAAATAAAATGGGAAAATTATCCATAGGACACCCAAAATGACATCTCTTTGCTGGCGAACACTGAAAGTAATCATATTTGCTGAAAACACACTGTTTTTTTGCAAAATATGCTGGCGGACACTGCGCCTATTAAAATATTCATTTCTGACTTTGGAGGAGAGAGAAGAGTGATGAAATGTCATTTTTGCCCTGCCATCTTCTTCTTCCCTCTCCCTTTTCTTCTCTCCCCTGCTCAATGACGCCCCACCCTTTTCTTCTTTCTAAATTCAGAGTGGCAGCCGTCGACGAATAAACAACGCGAGCTCCTCTCCTAAATACAAGTACGACTAGTAGTAGTAGTAGTCTACATAGTGTTGCTACACAGGACGGGACGAGATCTCCTTAATTAACACAATGTTTCGCATTGATTCGATCCGATTTGGTATGGTTTGGGGGTTTTCTTCTACGGCCGTGTGACGATGTCGACGTGCTCCACGGCGGTGCGCATGACGCCGTCCACCAGCTGCAGCATGCACGCCTCTCCGACGGCGCTGGGGCCGCACCCGATGCGGAGGCCCGCGTCGGACATGTACTTGTGCACCTCGGCGCGGATCATCTCCTGCATCGCGGCCACTAGCTCACCGCTGAACGGGTACGACGATGACTGAGATGGAGCCGTCGCCGCCTGCGGCGAAGGAAGGGCGGCGGGTGGAGGAGACTGCGGCGACGGGAGAGAGAGCTCCTGGAAGTGGCTCCGCGCGCTGTCGTGGTGGAACCCCGACGACGCCTGGTGGTCCAGCCCCGACCGCGAGAGGGAGAGCGAGGTGAGCGGGTCCTCGTAGTCTGCTGCTGATGCTGGCGGGGGAGGCGGAAGAAGGCGCAGAAAGAAGAAAGGGGAGCTCCGGCTGCGCGGGTCAATGGCGGCCGGGCTCAGCAAGCGCAGAGAGCGGAACAAGGCTGGACCGAGGAGGAGCAGACAAGGGTGGGTAGGCGCGGGCTAGTCCTCGGATTGCTCGGTCGCCACCCGGTGCTGCGACTGCGTAGCGCCAAACTCCGTGGTGCCTTTGGATGGAGCGCAAGGAGTCCGCCGCCACGTGGGGCTCATTCTCTCTCAGTGAGCAGGGGAGAGAAGAAAAGGGAGAGGGAAGAAGGCAGGGGCAAAAATGTATTTCGTCGCTCTTCTCCCTCCTCCAAAGTTAGAAATGAATATTTTAATAGGCGCAGTGTCCGCCAGCATATTTTGCAAAAAACAGAGTATCTTTCAGAAAATCTGATTATTTTCAGTGTCCGCCAACAAGGAGAGGTCAATTTGGGTGTCCTATGGACCATTTTCCCAATAAAAAATGAAGCATGAAAAGAAAAAAAGAAAAAGAAAAAAGAAAAGAAAAGAAAGAAATAAGAAGAATAAGAAAAAAAAACAAAAAGAAACCAACGTAACTTACCTGGGTCGCTCCTAGTCGCTGATTCCCGTGCTTGGGTGCCACGCCCTCGTTCCCGCGCGCCGTCGCTTCGTTGATCCTTGTTTCCCACGCACAGGAAAGTCTGTTTGGCGGAGGGTCGGGTCCGAACATTCGGACCTGATGAATCCCTCTGTCTGACCGGCCTTGAACCAAACGTACTCTAAATCTTATGTATCATTATTCATCTTTTCTTTAAAAGAACAAAAGCCTGTTTAATTTTTTATAGAATTTTTCAAGGACATCGTGTCAAAAAAAATCAAGGACACATGACCAGAGGTGCTGAAGAAACCAGAGCATGTACGCAAGACGCATCGTTACAACTTACGGCCTATATTCATGCAAATCCCGTTATCCTAAAGTGATTCGAAATAGCTAATATATACTCCGTTCCAAAATAAGTTAATTAGAAAAAGGTCCAAAATACTATGTTTGGTTCAGTTTAGTCCCCTCAATTACTTCAATTGCTCCAATTTACACATCAACAAAGATTTGTCTTTTCTCTCCACATCCGAGTTAATTTTTTTATTTTTTATTTATTTTTTGAGGGGATATCTAGCACCATAATTTATATGTTTAAAAAATGTCATAATTTTTATCATCATTATGTTGATAGGTCAGACATATAATAATAAATTAATATTTGAAATATAAAATTATATTAAATATACTTTATAAAATTGGTAATGTATTTTTAAAAATGGTTTATGGTGTCCACTATAACCTCACAAAATTTAAATTTAAATTCAACTTGTACTTGTACGTAGAGAAATGAAAAGGATAAATCTTGATAAGACGTAAATTGGACCGACTAATAAAATAGTTAAAGGGAGTAAACCGAAGCAAATGTTCGATGAAAGGTTATCCGAACATAAGGGATATTTGGAGTAGTAATTTGAACTTTTCCAAATCAATTTAAGTTAAAGTATCCTATTTTAGAAAAAAGTTAACAATATCTATGACATAAAACAAATACATTATAAAAATACATTTCATGATATATAATTTAATTATTATTAATATTGGTGTTCTTTCTATAAATTTGGTTTCATTTAAACCAGTTTGACTTAACACAAATGTTACTCTAGAAATTGATTTAATTTGGAGCTGAGGTCGGGACTCGGGAGTCCGACCACCGCCCGCCCACCGATCTTCGCCACCCGCATTGCTGCAAATCCCGCTCACATGTTTGGTGGTGCCGCGGTGGAGACATGCCACCGCTGGAGGCGACGCAGGACGGAGACGGACCTAGTCCTCGGAGAGCCTGGCGAGCCCCGTCGCCGACTCACCGCGGTAACAGAAACCCAGGACCCGCAGCTGCCGCCTCCACCATAAGACTACCATCACCTCTCTTGTGTTTTCATCATTTTCTGTTTACGATCTAGTTCTTCAGTGGTAAACATCGGGCTTCGTAGCCAGTCAGCCACCAAATCCTAGCTCCCCGATCTGCGCCCCCAACTCCCTGTCTTCCTCAGCCCTCAGCCGATGATGCTATAACCCTCCTTCCAGTTCAGCCAGAGGCGCCGACCGCTGACCCCAACTCCCTGTCTTCCTCTCCAGCGATGCCGTAATCCTCCTTCTAGTTCAGCCAGAGGCGCCGACCGCCGAGACACTAGCAGAACCACGTGAGGGCCATACTGACTCTGGCGCTCCCTACCTGGACAAAATTTTGAGGAGCATCAATACTAATCCTTCATGTCTGCATTACCAAAAATCTGAGTGGCGGCCGCATGTCTGCATGCATGCATGCTGGATGTTGCAGTCACCGGTTAACCACTTGCTCTCTCCTATAATGTCGATTCTTTATGGCTCTTTTATACAGTACATCTGTTGCTAAAATTCTCAGTGAATTGGGAAACAATTTTGTAGCTCATAAACAGTTTTGCTCATTCAACTGTTTCTATGAGTTCTTTGCATCCCCTAAGCCCTATATGGATTATGATTCGTGGGAAACAATCCTGTGAAGGCCGCATAAAGTGGCGCTTTCAAAAAAAGACCCAGGGTGTGTCGTCATACGGGATTATATATCCTTTAAGTGTCTACCTTGTTTTCAGTTTTTTCAGCAAAGATTGTGACAGGAAAAATTAGATTGTGGTTGATGCAGACCTTATATTTATCCATGTGTGGAGTCTCAAACTAACTTTTACTCTTGATGCACATGCAAAATTAGTTAATTCGGTTGATTTCTTCACTGAGTGTGAAGTTTTAACAAGCAATATATGATCACAGGATCCGATGACAATACTACTAAGGTTTATTTTTTGTCTTGCTATATATTTTTTGTAGTTTTTTTTCGAAAACATAGAAGAGATGCCCTTCTTTGTATTATAGAGAGAAAAAACAATCCCCATACATCAACCCCACTCATATGGGGATCGGATACGAGGAGGGTTTACATCACACTAGCCCTGCTATATAATTTTCATTGTTGTAACAATGAAATTTGATAGAGTTCAAATATGTGCATTAGGTCTAGGACTATCAAACAAAGAGTTGTATTCAGATACTAAGCCATGCAAGCATTGTTTTAACTGTTTGCTTTTATCCTGACCCTTTTAATCATCACTCGGTGAGAAGATGGAGAAATTCATATATGGAACCTCATGACTTTCAGGTTGGCTAATTTTCTCTTGCAAATATGCACAATGTTCTAATAAATTGGACTTTTGTTGGGTTAGACAAGTTTTATCGGGTTTGGTCACGCGATAGACGAGTGCAGAAGAAGGTGTGGATGGTCGTGTGAGGGGCATGCGTACGCGACGATGAACCTGGTGCCGCTTAGCACAGGAACATGGTGAACTACTTCTCTATCTTATGGTCCTAACTTATCACAGCTTGGTAAGTATGGAATGGGCATTTGAACCTATAGGTATTTATAGGCTTTATGGTGTTACTATTTAGCAACCCTCATAACATTCTATATTTATAGAATCTCTCTCATTCTTATTCATTTCCTAGATATTTACCATTAGTATGAAATATCTAAATATAGAATATTTCACATTTCATCCTAAAGCATGACAACCACATCTCATGTTTTTCTGCCACTTACGCAAACCGGTCACACCCTTGGACATTTTTTTCTTCTACGAGGATATTCTTTTCTCTTTGTAGATTTTCTTCTTCTTTTAGAACAATTAGTTATGCCCAACCAAGATAAATGTTCCGCAATGAGGGTAAATAAAAATATTCTATCTATAGAAAAAAATTTGTTTGATAAGGGACATGTAGTGGCATGTGAGACGGGTAACATCCCTAGTTCCTCAATTACACATTATTATTATTTGGTCCTTAACTCTTGTTTGTTTTTCTATTTTTTAGCCTAGACTATAAAACCTTGTAAATTTTACACTCAATTATTCATACCATTCAATTTTGGCCTCTCAACCTGATTTTGATGGTTTTCAGGTAATTTGGGCCCACACATTAACAAAGCTCACATATAATAGGTTCAACCTCTCTTTTCCTTACTTCCTTTCTCAACACCACCACCTCCACCTCCCTCTCCCCCCCCTCTCTAGCCGGTGCTGCCTCCCTCCATCCCTATTCGTTGCCCATGGCATGTAGGTCCATTGCCCTCCCGTCTTATTCCTTCATGCTCCCACAATGGCTACTCGCCTTGCAGCAACATGCCACTGCCCGAAATCCACCACAAGCCTAGCTAATGGTAGTGTTGAAATCCCTAGTTTGGTTTTGGATAATTGATAAAACCTATGCACTAACCTTTGTCATGAGCTATGATATGAACTAGGTTAGTGCAATCCAAGTATGGAGCATGGTGGCACTCAAGAGAAGGGGGTGATCACATGTGATGATGACCAAGTGCTCAACTTAGAAAAGAAGAAAGAGAAAAACAAAACCAAGGTGATCAAGGCAAAGATATAAGATAGGTTTTGTTTTTGCACTCAAGACACCATAGAGGGTGTGAGTGATTTAGGATTGATAGCCGTACTATAAAGAGGGGAAATCTTTGACTAAACGGTTTATCGAGTATCACTAGGTGACATGACTTTTGCATATACATTTAGGGATCTAGTGTGCTAACTTTGACCCTTGTAAAATGCTTTGAAAAATGATAACACACGTGCACACAAGTTCTACACTTTGTGGTTAGCAAGTTAGAAGCAAGGGCGAAGAGGTTGCAGACTTAGAAAAAGAAAAGGAGGCG